CTACTTGCTAATTATCAAATGCTTTGAAACCCAGTTGAGGTCAGGGGACAAGTACCATCTGGAGGTGCTTCTGAAAGGGGCTGAGTGTAAAAAGCAGGCAGCTTGTAGAAAATAACTGGGAAAGATGGGAACAAGAATAGATTTTTCCTTGGGCTGCGTTCATTTGATGGGAGATGAATTTAGTTCCAAATAATCAGCAACTTTGTATGAATGAACTTTAGGAAAATAAGATTAATAAATTATCTGGTTGTGTTCTTGCACTATATACACCTTGTCCCACAAACTCTGCTGTATGATCACGGTCAAATTTGTTATGTTCTCTGACTCTTATAGTGGAAATAAGTGTCCTGTCAGTGGAAATAAGGCAGAAATGATGCCTGGTTTTATTTAAAATTCAGATTGTCCTTCAAGATTTATTGTGTGAGGAATTGATTTTCCCCTTAAGTACGACATTTTAGAAAACTTAATACGTTGTAAGACTTTCTTTATTATTTCAGTGACCAACATTTTTTTCCCAGTGAAATGCATGTAAGAGTTTAAGATAAAAGTCAAATGTCATTTAGTAGCAATTTGCTTTTTTCATTAAATTTTTGTGGCACACTCTTCTTCTAAAGGATTTCTAGCATAGTAAACAGCTGATTTAATGAACATCTATATGTCCCTGTTTCCCAGTTGGTTCTTTTGTTAATGAGAAGTAAATTTATTTTAATTGACATTTTTTGTTGTTGTTCCTTGTTCAGATCAATCTTGGCAATTTTGAAAAACATTTTAACTCTTAATAGTTCAATACTGAAAGCACAACAGGTAAGTATCTTCCATGTTATATAACTTATCTACTCATGATTTCAAATATCACCTCTTTGTTAATGAGTCTGCTTTATCTCTAGTCTTGCCCTAAGCACTAAGCTTAATTCATCATTGTCTTTCCTAAGCCAATCTCACCCCTTCCCAATTTTTTGTTTAAAAGGCAATTGGGTTTAAGTGACTTGCCTAGGGTCACACAGCTAGTAAGTATCAGGTGTTTGGTCTGAGGCTGGATTTGAACTTAGGTCCTCCTGACTTCAGGGCCGGTGCTCTATCCACTATGCCACCTAGCTGCCGCCTCCCTTCCCAATTTTCACACTTATGTCATTAACAACATAATTTTCCCAGCCATCTTGGCTTCATTTTTTTATTCATGTCTCTCCTTCATCCCTTATCCCACCTATTTTTCATTTTTATGAATTCTCTCCTCAATTTAAATCCATAAATATTAAGCAGCTTTACACTCTCCGAAGGAATGGACCATGCTCATCTAAATCTGCCCCAGTGTTCTGCGCACAGTAAACTCATGGGCATTCAATACATTTTTTAAAATGAAAAAAAAATGTGAAGAGGAATTTCAGTGAGATTCTTGCTGAAGGAAAAGAAATTCACTGAAGCATACCACCTAACCTACTTCATGCAGTCAAATGTACTTGAAATATCTTAGTGTGGTGTGATCTTACTGCAGGGTTGGAGTCCCGAATATGAATTTCCTGATGATTGTGTGGGTAAAAAAAAAAAACATTTTAAAAAGTGTTGCTGGAGGCAGCTAGGTGGCACAGTAGATAGAGCACTGGCCCTGGAGTCAGGAGGACCCGAGTTCAA